AAAATCCCCATTGTTAAGGGCTTCACGCTCTGTTCAGTTCCAGGTTAACTCACCTCAGCCATCGTTTCCTCCCGTTCCTCCTTGGTCATGCCCAACACAGTCCTCTCATTCACATCCTCCCCCGTCGCTGCTACTGTGGGCTTCCTCTGTGCCAAGGGGACCCTCGAGTCAGCCAACTTCTTCGACCGCCATGCTCTCAGCTTGGGCTTAGGGAAACCTCTACTACTACTGGCCAGGTCGGCCCGAGGTGGTGCCACCGGTACAGTCAACTGACACACGCCGTTATAAGAGTCGTGAAAATAACACGTCAACGTTACGTCAGGTTGCCGTTCGACGACTCTGTCATTCATAACCCGGTTTAAGGGCACATCCACTGACGACAACTCAGCTTCCTGCTCTGCCTTGTGAGCCTCCGATACGGCAGTCCCTATGAGTAATAGCGAACGATTTGCCAGTAGAAGGAATGTTTAACCAACCGAACGGTTATGTAAATTACGGTATGAAATTTCGGACGATGTGGTAGATTTCAACTGATGTTTTTTCCATCAAAATTGTTGAATAATTGTTCTTTTTTCGTGAATAACGTCAATTGAATTCGAGAACCAACATTTTACAACAATGTAAATTCATTGATGATGGTCCATAGTGGATATTCCCATTTTGGAATGTTAAAAGTCATCTCGAAAATATCACTTTATGAAATGGCTCCTTTCACACTATACTTCACCACTGAATTAGCGGACTAGACGAAAAGTTATGGAAATTGCCAACGGTGCCGCTGGCCGTCTCAATGGTGTGATCATTGAGACTTCGCCATCATCGCAATGATGACATCCAATGACAACGTCCGTATGGCATGGGCAACGTCGCCAGGGCATGTCGAGACCATACCCGCGATTACTTTCTTCTGTTGACGTACCAACGACATCAGACTTTCCCTTCTTTTCGCCTCCCACCCGCACCACAGTAGCTGCAGGCCTGTCCCCGTTCATAAACTCAGCCTGTTCCTTGAGTAAGTCCTCTTCGGATAACCATGCTGGCTTACGGGGCGGCATTATAGCACTTCAAGCACACTACAGTACGAAATCCCACTACTGCTGAACACAACACCGAGATCGCTGTCGATAACACGACTATGACCTTTGTAAGCGGCTGTAC